CTCAAAACGTTCCTTTCATCCTTTCATTATGATACGTTAGTGAACATATTATCAGCACACACACTCACGGCCTCGTCAAAGCGACAATTTATTAAGTATGAATACAACATTGCAACACAAACAATGCATTAAATTGATGATAACATTAATATGTAAATTCATGTATTTTCATTTTCAATTACGCAGTAATGTATAATTCTACTAATATTTTTTTTTTTCATGAAAGAGACACTAACCCTACAATCCTTTCAATGATGTGGAAACGTCACTTTAAAGAAAAAACACATACCTCGTAGTATGCCATGAACCCAGCTTCCCTGGTATAAAGACCGGCAGCCCCTGCACCTTTAGCCGGGCAACCCATCTCGTGGCTGGATGTGCCGTATGGGAGCTTGAAGCTTCTTCCGTAAAGTCCCATGCCAATGTTCATCATCTCTTTAGGAGCTCCTTTCTGCACCCAGTACCTAGCAGCCCAATCCTTAAATCACGGTAGTATGAAACTTGACAGAACATTTTCTCTTTTTTTAAAAAAATATTAGAGCCTCAATCATGAACGGTAAAAATCATTGAATAATTTGTTAATGCGTGTATTTTAAGTGTTTAAGAAATTAAGGATCTGACAAAAGTAGTAAAAAAATAGTCTTGTCATTTTCTTATGAAATAATGAACTTGGTATAAAGTAAAATTATATATGCATAATTCATAACGAAATTCCTAGTGAGTGATTGTTTAATATATATACTTTAGCATTAAGTACAACAATTCGACCCCTTGACTTTTCGACCCCTCACGATTTTCAGATGATTTTTTTCAACCGCTTAACTGACCGATCCTTTATTACGAGTTGATCAAGTTGTCAAGGAGTCGTGACGTCAGAAAAGTCATTTAGAGACAACTATTAGCTTACCACGTTGAGGTAGGTCTCGTTTCCGGTTTCGGCACTTCGGGAATAGAGTGGAGCGTTGTGTCCGGTATGATCCTCCCATGAGCCGTGCAAGTCGTAGGTCATCAAATTGATAAAGTTCAACAATCTTACAAAATAATAATAATAAAATAATGGCGTTCTGAGAAATACATGTATATCTTACACAATAAATGCGTGAATGGGTGTATGTACACTTTTCTTGTGTATGTACACTTTTCTTGTGTATGTACACTTTCTTGTGTATGTACACTTTTCTTTTAAAGATACATTGGATATTTTTTCCGTGGTCATTGCAACATTACCATATTCTACTAGAATTGGTACTTCAAAAAGAAATTTATTAATCGTATAATAATGAAAGAGTTAATGACACTAAAATATTATTGAGGGTAATCTAAACTTCTTAAAATGTAGCTGTTAACTTTAAAATGTTAGCTTTACTTGGAAATTTCTGGAATTTCGTAAGCGGTATCAATCTTTTCTTTTCCGGCGGCAACAGCGGCGGAGAGCAAAAGACGTTCCTTACCAGCGGGTATGCTCTCTCGGGCAAATTCGTCATGTAATGCCTGTAAAACAAATACAAAGGAGATATTGATGCTAAATGATATATACATGTATGAGTACATACCATATAGTATATGTGAAAAAGTGTAAACAAATAAAACCGAACAATGATAAGAAATTCTGTTCGGACACAATTAAATTTACCTGTAAAACTTGGGTGAACCTATGCTTGTCCTCGGGTGGACTTCCTCTGTTGGCAGGGTACTCCCAATCCATGTCAAGACCATCGAACCCATTCTTTCTCAAGAATTTAACTGATGTCCTGGCGAATTCCTGGCGACCGGCATCACTTCTGGCCATGGCTGTGAATGGAGCCGAGCCCATGTTCCAGCCACCGACGGCAAGCATAAGTTTAATTGAGGGGTTCTCTTTCTTCAGACCAGCGAATCGCTCATACCTGATTAAAATATGAAACAAAAGTAATTCCTCTTAAGCCAATGCTCACATATCGTGCATAGGTACTTGTCGATTTCTTACCAAACAATGATTGATAAATAGTTGCCCCTCATTAAATACTTTTTATGTTATTGTTTAAACCGATATTGTTACATTTTGTTGCATTATAAGCACAGTTAACATTCGCAGTAATGCTTAAATGAGCCGCGTCGCGACAAAACCAACACAGTGCGTTTGCGACAAGGATGGATCCAGACCAGTCTGATTAGGATCCATGCTGTTTGCTTACCAACTCTATAACAAGTAGAGAATCTGATAGCGAACTGCATGGATCCTGATCAGACTGCGCGGATTCGCAGGCTGGTCTGGATCCATGCTGGTCGCAAACCCATTATGTTGGTTTTGTCGTGACGCGGCTCAAATATATTGTCAATCCAACGGAAACAAGTTTTACTTACATGCCCTTACTCCAGTCGGTGGACTCGTCATTCCACTCAAAGGCTGCAAGGTGATTGCCTACCATCTTCGCAAAAGCGTAAATGACGTGTGTACACAGACTTGCGTCAACATTTTCCGGGAAAAACTTGGCCGGACTGGTCCTGTACTGAGCCCAGTTTGTGTAGTAGCATACCCTTCTTAAGGAGGCTTGATGAATTTATAGAAAAAGTGATATTCAGCCCAAATAATATACAAGTAAAATGGTTTCCTGCGGGAGACATTTTTAATGATATAAAGATATTTCATTTAACTATTTTCATTATTGTTTGGGGAAAAAATAAATAAACGTTTGTATCAGGAATATAGTTGAAAATAATCGATCAATAGAAGAAGGTCTATGGAGACTGGTGACCGTTGAAGACCAGAGGCCGGACAGAATGTCGAATATAAAACAACTACGGTATTTTTTTTTTAAGAAAATGATTAAATACCATTGCATGAATAATTCCGTGCAAAATTTATACAAATTTACGCAGAAAATATGTCTATTTATTATGGCAGATGTCACTACGAATGTTTTGTAGATTTTCACTATAAACAATTTATTGTTTGTAAAATTTGAGATAGATATTAAAGAAACATTGATCATTGATAATATTTTTTTCAAACACATCATGCAAGATTTTCCACCTTAAACGGTAAAATAATTATAGAACATTGGAAATATCACGTAATGGTTCTATGTTCTTAATCAGATGTAACTCGAGGTAAATCCGTAACGTACCGGCTAACGGTATTTAGCTAGGTTTTCGAAAAGGTCAATTAACCAATCATGTACGGTTAATAGATCACATGCTCCTCCATGTACCGAAAACAGGTCACGTGCTCCTCCATGCATCAAAAATTAAACGCGTACCAATACCCTGCGGGCTCCGGCCCGCAGGGAATGACAATTACTGTTAATATAATAAAACTGCTAAAAAGGTAGATGACAACTAATTATACTGGTTACATATGTGATTAAATGCTTAATCCATTTGTGCCAAACCAACTTACAAAAGAATGTCTGAGAAAAAAAAACCCTCATACCGCTTTGATCAGAGATAAAAACAGATTTTCGTTGTGGACGCGCATGCATAGTGCATGCATAATCATTGATCGACTTCCGGTTAAAATCAATTAAAGTGAAAAGGAAAATATTTCTTTTGTTTAAGAATTGATGCGTGGCCAACTTGTAACACGGTTTTACAACTTAAAGGGACACCTGCCACTTAAACAATCATATTTTGTTTATACTCTTCGCCCATACTTGTATACGCTGCTTTAACGTTGATTTCATTTTAAACATGGGAAGTTGAATAATGCTGTATTAAAAAATTTTCAGAATATTTTTTCTCCAAAGCCATAAACTGGCATATACTGATATAGAATTGATATCTATTTTTAAATTTAATTCTATATTTAGATTTAAATTCTTTTTTTGGAAATGAATAAATAAAGCATACCAGTAGCAGCACCGCACGCTACCACAGCAACCAAGAATAGTGATAAACGTACCATCTGAAAAAGAGATGTTGCATGACAGATAGATAGATATATAACATACAAAATATATAATTGAGCCGCGTCACGACAAAACCAACATAGTGGGTTTGCGACCAGCATGGATCCAGACCAGCCTGCGCCTCCACGCAGTCTGATCAGGATACATGCTGTTCGATATCAGTTTCTCTACTTGTAATAAAGCCTTTTAAGCGAACAGTATGGTTCCTTATCAGACTGCGCGGATGTTTAGGCTGGTCTGGATCCATGCTGGTCGCAAACGCATTACGTTGGTTTTGTCGTGACGCGTTTCATATAATTATATAACCATGCTTCCAAATTCATCGGCTTAGGATTTAAAGGAACTCGACTGAGGTGCAAAAACTCAAAAACATAAAATTTGAATTCCTTACACAGGTCCGCTGGGACACTTTAAACAGAAATATAAGCAAAAGATAATTTAAGAAATAAATTTGAAAAAAAATGTACTTTTGAGCTGTTCTTAGCCCGATTTAAGTGAGAAGCTTCTCAACGCTTTGTAATTTAGGCTCATTTTTCATATATAGAATAAGAATTCTGCATGGGAATGAGCGATGGTCTGGAATTTTGCACACAATTGAATAATGCAGACCTACATCAAATGGAATATTAATCGCGACAAATTATTTTAAGTCCTGTTGTGTCAAAGACACCTCAATGGAGTTCCTTTAAGACACGACACGAAATTTCCAAGTCTGTTTGTTTGTTGGGGTTTTTTTTATATATAGTATTGTAGTTTTTTATTTTGTTGTTGTTGTTGTTGTTGTTGTTGTTTGCGTGGTGTAAAATAATAGAAAGGACATATTGGTTTATTTACAATTGTGCTAATTCGAAAATCGAGGATTTTTCACCACCAGCAAACAGGAAAGGCTCTATAATGACCTCTACTGTGTCGGTGCGACGTAACAGACATAAAAGACAAAAAAAAAACACCAACAAATCAAGAAATTTTAATAAACGCAAAAGGTACACATATCAAATGCGCCACGAATCACAAAAGTAAAGCCTAAAACTAGAATTGTGTCCATAGGACACGGGTGCCCCCACCGCGCCACTGTTCTGTCAATCTTATGACTCTAGGTCAAATATTTTTTGAAAACTAAAAATCTTTTACTAAGTAAAGGGCAAGAACTTCACAAATACTGAATAAATCCACAAGCAAACCCCAAGGTTTATAAGAACACATGCTGACCAACATTCTTGTAAACTTTCAGTCCTACAAGTGAAATACTTTTTTGATCTATGCATGAACAAGTTGAAAATTGCAAATTTATACTACTTTAAGTCAAGGGCAATAACTCTTACAAAACTGAAAAAATCTACATGCAAAGTCTCAGGTTCATAGCTTGACAGTGATGTGAATCATTATTCCTGTAATTTAGTGATGTTGATCATTATTCCTGTAAATCCTTTTTGAGTTACATGCGACACAAGTTAAAAATTGCAAAAGTTTTGTAAGTCAAGGGCAATAACTCTAAAAATACTAAATAAATCCAGACGAAAATACCCAGATGCACAGCTACACATGCTGGTCAATATTCCTGTAAAGTGTCATGACTCAATGTCAAATCCTTTTTGAGTTACATGCGACACAAGTTGAAAATTGCAAAATTTTACTAAGTAAAGGGCAATAACTGTAAAAATACTAAATAAATCCAGACAAAAATACCCAGGTGCACAACTACACATGCTGATCAACATTTCTGTAAAATTTCATGACTCTAGGTCAAATACTTTTTGAGTTACATGCGACACAATTTGAAAATTGCAAAATTTTACTAAGCCAAGGGCAATAACTCCCATGACTAAGACTTATCGGAATTTGATAATGAAAGCTAAGTTTCATACATTTCTTATAAAAAAAACCTTCTGTCTCTCTCTTAAATAGGAATAAAAGAAGGATGAACGAAAAAAAGGAAAAGAAGAAGAAGAATAATTAAAAACCCTACTAGATCTATATAGTTTAAATACTTAATGTACCCATTTTTTACTAAAAATAAGGGAATAGAAATAAACTTTATTGTCTGGTCGGTGTTAACCCAGTTTAAGCCCATGACCTAATGCAAAAAAAACAAGATTGAAAGGCGGTCAATATTGTACATTAGAAAAATACTGCATTTATCAGCTTGTCACACACATGTCAAATTTTGTTACTTGCTGGGTTGAAGTATCATCATAATTCAAAATTCACAGCGTTATTCAAATAACATTTTGATCTGTATAGTCGGTTGCTTAGTTGATTAAAAATCTAAAATTTAAAAACAAGTGTATCACGGCGCAAAAAAAGACTGCGTTCTAAAAAAGAGTTTTGCATGTCAATATACACGTATTTAGCAGGTTTTTTTGTAATAACCTAAAAGATAATGCTTCAAATGCATTTCAGTCCGTTGGTAAAGCAAACGTCACCAAGCCAAATATTATGATGTGGTTACTATAATATAAATGTAAATAAAAAAACCGGAATCCTTTAAGAAGGCCAAAAACCACACAATTTAGTTTGAGCGTATTCATGGACGGTAGTGGTAGCAAACGCAAGCTGTACCTTCCACGCCCTCTAGCACCGACTTAAGCAGCATTTTACATTTAATTATCAAATGGTGAAATTTTGAGTTTAGAATATATCCACAGATAAAATTTACCGTTACTTTTCGTTAGATGAATATAAGAATCAAAAGTAATTTTCGAAAGATAAACCATATTAACACGGCCTTTCCTATCTCCATCGATACCCGTGAGTTGTGCTTTAAAAGTGAAATATCACACGGCGTAAAAGAAGAAATGACGTGCATTGGTGACGTAAGTTAACCGAATGACCTCGGGGAAATTATTTTTATGTTAATTGTATTATGATTAATATAAGTGAAGATATTTCCAATAAACGAGCACAGCACACCTCCACGGATGTTGTTTTTCCAAATAAATGCATTAAAATATTCCAAATAAGTTAAAACTCGAATTGTTCAGTTATCATGACTTAAAATTTAAATCGAATATTTCATTTTTCCCTACTATTAACCAATTGCAAATCAGACGGAAATAAACAAAAGAAATCTTATTTAAAAAATAAATCACACCAATTCAAGCCTAAGGACCATGAACATTTTGAATTTCAAAATCTCTTACAATACAATAAAAAAGAAGTATAAAACAAATATATAATTGTGAAATCAGTACAAGATCTTACAGTACCGTTAAAGTAATAGTTATGTCCTAGATTTAATTAATTTAATTTAATTAATCAAGAATTATGTTTAATATATCATTATCTTATTAATACACTGTGCATATATTGATGCAGATATAACAAAAAGGGAAAAACGCAATGTTACATAGAATGCATTATGTTTTTTTTTACGATTGGAGAAAAAATCTTTTATTTGTTTGTAAATTAATGAAACAAGATTAAAAATTATATTCAAAAATTGCAATATGAATTTTTTTCATAGTGTTATAAAAGCACGTACCTTCGTCTTCAAAGTCTGGATACGGTTTGACTTGATTTTCTGTTCTATTTGTAGTCTATGACAGGTAGGGGCCTAGACATTTACGTTCGAAAAGATAAAAAGTCGGTGATCGGGCGATCGACATTATCTTTAAACATTGAGCACTAATCTTAAATTTTAATTCATGTATTTGAAAAATTTCTGTTTAACCATTGCGATAACGTTGTTCTTGAAATGCATGTTTTCGAACTTCAATAACTCATGTTTGAAAACGGCTTAAGGAAATTAGGTAAAATTTGATAAATTTGAATGTATTAATCTCGCCCAAACGGTGGCCCGTTGGCCTTTATCCTGGCTTAATGCGCAACAGGGTATGGTATTAAGGGACCTTAGTATGGCGTAATCAATAACTGACCGGGTGAACTCATCATGACGTACTTAAATGAATTAAATAGCACGGTTATAAAGTTATTTAGGTCTTTTACATTCTTTTGGTTTGGGACAAAGTACATGTACAACGTTCAAACAGTTCAATGAGTATATTTTTTTTTGTATTTTTAGTGACCGTAATAAAAGACAAACATACGTAAGTCTGTAAAGGCTACATATCTTATGATAAGACTAGCTGATAAATTCTGTAAATTTTGTGTTGTCATTCTCTTAAGTTCGTCCTATTGCGCGGTGGGCTGTCGCAAGCTAAAAGACGAAAACATTAAAATGTTCATAATATTATCAAAATCAAATTGCGCCATGTTGTCGCTAGCGAAAGGACGAAAAAAGCAAGATCATCTTCATTTCATCCTTACTCGCGGGTTGACGTCGCTAGCAAAGAAGAAAATATTCAGTTTCTCTTATTTTCGTCCTATCTCGCGGGTTGTCGCTAGCGGAAAGACAATACCATTCATTTTTTCTTAATTTTCGTCCTTATACGCAGCAGATATTCGCTAGCGGAAGGACGACAAAATTAATTTCGTTGTGTCGCGCGAGAATTGGTCGCAAGCGAAAACTAAACAATATGCCGTATTCATTTGTTTCGTCTAGTCACTAGGCTAATATAATAGCGTTGTATGATGTATAATCATGCAATAGAATAGAATCGAAAAAAAAAAATGAATAGAAATTAATTGAATTGAATATAATGAAACGGAACGGAATAGCATAGCATAGAATAGAATAGAACTGAATAGAGTAGAATGGAACAGAGCGGAAAAGCATAGCGTGGCGTGGAGTGGAGTGAAATAGAATAGAATAGAATAGAATATAATAGAATAGAATAACCTTTTGAAAATCGAATACACCGGATGTAAAATTCTGCTTAAAAAAGAAGTTGCGACAATTTCCAAACAAACAATTATTAATCAATTCATATCCGATCACATTCTTTTTTTTCTGTCTTTTTATTGCTGTTACTTATCTAATTTTATAAAACAAAATATTTCATGCACACGTCAATTATTTAATGTTTAAAAATAGGCAATATCAATCGGTATTGCCCTCATTCTTAACCATATCAAGTCAATATTGAAATATTTTTGTTATGCAAATGTGATAAATCACTAAGGTGTCAAAGGTTATCGCAATACATGTCAGTTTGGTCAAAATATGCACAAATCTTAGCGTTCAATAATAATATTCAACGGGTGACTAATGCATTAGCAAAGTGTTTACAAACTAAAAATTCTGCCCAGCATTTATTTACGACGTGTTTTCTTAAATTAGGTGCACACTTAAGAAATTACAGGAAGATGGGTGTTCTGTTATAACAAACTGGGGCATTTTTCTCCTAAAAAGCTATTTACAAAATAGCTTTTCAACAGAAGAGCAAAATCGACTCTGAAAAATAATAATCAAAAAATGCATCATTATTTTTCAAAGTATCCCTATAAAAAATTAGGTACACGATGAGTGATAAAGTTGTCTTTAACTATTATTTCCTAACACAGAGCATACTTTTTGCATTAAAATGATCAGAAATTGATAGGTCATGCAATCTGTGTTTTAACAAAAGATAGTTTGGGTATTTAAACTTTGAACCTGCTGGCGGCAATAGGATCTACCCAATCGACCAGTACAGACCAAGATCAGCTGGCACATCCGTGCCGTCAGACTATGATCTAAAAAATACTGTTCGACATTCAGTAAAAACATATTTTGAATTGTTTCCCTAAAAATGATGAATGTTTTTATGTTGTTTTTTTCTTCAGATTGAAAGATGGGCACGTTCATCGTAATTATGGTTAAGCAATGCCTCGTGTGGTGTTGATGATTATATAATTTGCAAACATGAACCTGTGAAGCTTACGACTCCAAGCTTGATAAGCCGCCTCGCATTATAGACCACTGGCCGTTTTCGACGGGGTTCGAAACAGCACATGTCATGACTTATGCAAACTATGCAAACTCTTTTATGTCGCTTACTCTTATTTGTTTGCTACAAAGTTTTGGTGAGCGTCAAAACACAATCGAGGAGATCCATTGAAAACAGAATGATATTTAAACGCAAAGATAACAAAAAAAAACAATTTTCATTTAGAAGCAAGATAAAAGTAAGAGTTTTTTGTTTGTTTGTTCGTTCGTCCGTCCGTCCGCCCGTTCGTTCGTTTGTTTGTGTGCTACTATTTTAAATGTAAAATTTATCTTCAATACATGAAATTTACATTGCAAAGTTCGAATTTGTAACGTACCTGTAAAACAAAGACGCTATAATGCATGGATAAAGTCCGTAAACATATTTCACAGATAATATCCGTGCAAATATGTCCTAGATAAAGTCCGTTCGTATATCGCTATTAAAACCTAAGCTTAAATATTCGAGCCCATTGATCAGATTTCTGGAAATTAATAAATGTTTATAAGAATGAAGTGTCAGAGAAATAAATGGTTCCCGATTTGTAAAATTTTCTAAATAGCTACATTGACAAAACGTAACAGCCATTTTGGCAGTCATTATTCAATATAGTCATGTATAATTAAGAAAAATATGAAAATATACAAAGAAAACATGATAATTAGGTTGCAATGTTATAATCATTTACATATTATGTAAAAGAAAATATTATTAAATCACTAATATCAAGACCGTTCTGAGTCCATGAAAATAAGACAATAGAAGAATAGAGAACTTTTTGTCAAATCTTAAGTATTTAAGGTACATGTAAAAATCAGGAATTTTGCTCAAAATGGCGATACGGGGATATGAAGCATTGTAACACCGCACTTTGGGGTCCAACGCACTTTGGGGACCAACTCACGTTGGGGTCAAAATCGAGAAATTGACCCCAAAGTGCGTTAATATTCTACAAATCAACGCACTTAGGGTTCCAGATTTCTGAAGGAGTTCTGCTTAAATACTGAGTACTGACTTATTTTCGATCTGCGACATTGAAATATTTGAGGTGGAGTTCAAGATGGCGGTCGATACTTTGTTTGATGCTTAAGTGATAAAAGTTTCATTAATTTTACCATTTGAAATATCTAAAAATTGATTCCATATAACAAAGTACTCTAGTACATAAATTGTGAATGTATTCCTAAAATTAAAAGATGCTGTGAAATATCCTGTGTCAGTCATTTACTTGATAACTTTTTGTGCCATATTTAGCCCTTGATAACTTTTTGTGCCATATTTAGCCCCATTTTAAATATAATAGGGATGAAATAAAATGCAGTCAATATTTTTTTACCAAGAACTATAAATATACTCCATAACAATGTTCTAGTGAAACATCATGTTTCTCGATCGGACTTTAAATAGTGATTTTTACAAATAAATCATTAAGCTTGTCAACAAACATAAGTTTTTTTGTAGGCTCCATAACAACCGTTCGCCAGAGGCTTTTCTGATGGGAAATCTTACATCTTTAGAAAGGGCAAACATGAATTTTATAATGCTTAAATAATGGTATCAGAGAAATGTAAGAAATGTAAGATGCTTGTTACCTGAATAAAGTAACGATAAATGTGAAATAATTTGTCATAAAAATAGCAAAATGTAAACATTTAAGTATTTTAGTATCTATATAAAATACTAATTCACTATAACTGTATGCTCATTGCCAAAATGGAACAGATGAAAAAATTAGGTTCAGGTAATTAGCCAATGAGTAAAAGCCTCAACAGACGGTAGGATTTAGTTGTACAACACTAATTAGAGATATGATGTACAATTTTCATGGCAATACAACACATGCATTCAGACAGTAATTCTGCTTTCAAATTGTAGGAATCATCAGGTTTCCATTAAAAACAGTTCCCTCCCAATTAATCCCTTACATACTTTACTCACTAAATAATTTTTTTTCTCCATGAGTAATTGAAACCCTTCCATTTTTTTTAAAAAAAGGTCTATAATTGTCACAGGGCGAGATTAATGTGCAGCCTGACCGAGACTCGAAACCTTGGACCCTCGGAATACAGTACTGCGGCTCTACTGACTGAGCTATCCAGCCGCTTACAAACTTCCTCCCCTTATAAGTGAACAGTTCAATACTGTGACACTATCATTTTCTGAATTATTTGGAATTCGAACATACCACGACTTTGGGTCTCCTGAGGAGTTTTTTTTTCAACATCATTTTTACCCCATCTTACTACATGTACTATGTTTACAACCCTTATTGTTCTGGAATTTCATTCATTAAACACATTATCAGGGGATAATTGGTAAATATGGGATCTGTCATCGTGGGAGGTCTTTACAACAAGTATTAAGAGATAGAACATGTCCTATCCTGTAAATCTAGTATTAAGTTGTGTGAATTCAAGAAATAGTAGCCTTCAAATAGTAAGATTTGCTTGTACATCTTAGTTTAAATTGATGTTGTACTTCAAAATCCTACCGTCTGTTAAGGCCTTAACTCTTTGGATACTACATGTATAGAAGTACACCCAAATTAAAAAGTTTTTTTCAGAAATACAAGTAAAAGCATAATGGGCCTTTAAAACGTTTTTTTTATAATCTTGGGGGTGGGGGAATGGAAACCCCACCATCCCATCTAGACCTCCCCCCCCCCCACCAGTTAGAACTTTACATTATTATAAAGTTCCGCACTTAATGTGTGACTACTTAAAGCTGCACGCCTCCAGATGAGCCAAAATATTTCAAGAAATTCAATTTTTAGGAAAATGTATTAAGATCTTAAGAAAAGTAAAAAGATTCAATATTTAATTTATTACTTACATAATTTTTGCGATTAATGATTGATTTTGCAATATCAATCACTATAATTCTTCTGCGTTAGTAACACAGTAAGAGGTATTTATGAATATTTTGACCTCTTTTTTGGTAATTTACGTGGATTGTAATTGCCGTTTGCAATTTGTAAATTATTTTCTTCGTTCACTTCACAGTATTTTACTTTAAAATACATTTTCAAAATGTTCATGAAAATAAGCATAAATCTGGAGGCATGCCGCTTTAAATAGTTGATGCTATTTTTGAGTACTGCCTATACGGACTACTACTAAAGGCCGCATCTACATCTAGTCAAGTTTCTTAAATATCAGATTTAGATAACCTAAATAAATGGCCCTTTCAACATATAATCAAGCACATTTTTTCTGAAATCTCTTATTAAGATTTTCCAGATTTTATACCTTTGTCTCTGCTAAGATTATCATTATTTCTATAAAATATGTAAATAAAAGAAAAACGGGAAAATGATGTTATTAACTTAAAAAATGGGATTAGTGAAAGGTGTACATTCTTTTAAAATAAATGGAAAATGTGAGAAAAAAATATTTTGAGCTTATTAATTGATACAAATTCTTTATTTGATTGAAGATGTGTGAAGTTGGCGGCCTAGCCGCCCAGCGGCCTGGTGGCGCGAAGGTGGCGGTCTGGCGGCCCTGCGACTAATGTACACTTGTGCTAGGACTCGGAATCCCAACTATTTATCCATGTTTTCAACCTTTCAGTTTCATCCAATAACAGGGAGGTAATCATTTAGGGTATGCCAATAACCCCATGCTATAATCATGAGTTATTGTTAATAAATGTGTGAGCAGAAGTTATTTTGTAAAGTTAGTAAAGGATGATTACCTGACCTATACTCATCGTTTGGACGGGGAGAATAAATTGGATGGGACCCGAAAAAAATTGTTTTAAAACTTCATTAAGGACCATTCATATTTGTTACAGAAATTGTACACCTGAATTCCTTGCTGTCATTTTTTTATGTGCTTCACACATCTAGATAAATATGTTTTTCAATAATTCAAATAAGTTACGGTGATGATGTACTGATGATGACAATGATGATGCTCTCTGTGTGTCATGTCTACTATGTGGGTAGTGCTCTGTGTGCCATGTCTACTATGTGGGTAGTGCTCTGTGTGTCATGTCTACTATGTGGGGAGTGCTCTGTGTGCCATGTCTACTATGTGGGTAGTGCTCTGTGTGCCATGTCTACTATGTGGGTAGTGCTCTGTGTGCCATGTCTACTATGTGGGTAGTGCTCTGTGTGTCATGTCTAATATGTGGGTAGTGCTCTGTGTGCCATGTATACTATGTGGGAAGTGCTCTGTGTGCAATGTCTACTATGTGGGTAGTGCTCTGTGTGTCATGTCAACTATGTGGTAGTGTCCTGTATATGTCAGGTCAGTCAGTGTGTGAGTAGTGGCTTCTGTGAGTAGTGTCCTGTGTATATCAAGGTCAGTATGTGAGTAGTGTCCTGTGTATGTCAGGTCAGTCTGTGAGTAGTGTCCTGTGTATGTCAGGTCAGTCTGTGAGTAGTGTCTTGTATATGTCAGGTCAGTCTGTGAGTATTGTCCTGTGTATGTCAGGTCAGTGTGTGAGTAGTGTCCTGTGTATGTCAGGTTAGTCTGCGAGTAGTGTCCTGTGTATGTCAGGTCAGTTTGTGAGTAGTGTCTTGTGTATGTCAGGTTAGTTTGTGAGTAGTGTCCTTTGTATGTCTGTGAGTAGTGTCCTGTGTATGTTATGTCAGTTTGTTAGTAGTGTCCTGTGTATGTCAGGTCAGTCTGTGAGTAGTGTGCTGTGTATGTCAGGTCAGTCTTTGAGTAGTGTCCTGTGTATGTCAGGTTAGCCTGTGAGTAGTATCCTGTGTATGTCAGGTTAGTTGTGAGTAGTGTCCTGTGTGTGTCAGGTCAGTCTGTGAGTAGTGTCTGTGTATGTCAGGTCAGTCTGTGAGTAGTGTCCTGTGTATGTTAGTTCAGTCTGTGAGTAGTGTCCTGTGTATGTCAGGTCAGTCTGTGAGTAGTGTCCTGTGTATGTCAGGTCAGTCTGTGAGTAGTGTCCTGTGTATGTCAGGTTAGTCTGTGAGTAGTGTCCTGTGTATGTCAGGTCAGTCTGTGAGTAGTGTCCTGTGTATGTCAGGTCAGTCTGTGAGTAGTGTCCTGTGTATGTCAGGTTAGTCTGTGAGTAGTGTCCTGTGTATGTCAGGTCAGTCTGTGAGTAGTGTCCTGTGTATGTCAGGTCAGTCTGTGAGTAGTGTCCTGTGTATGTCAGGTTAGCCTGTGAGTAGTGTCCTGTGAGTCAGAGTACGAAAGATTGTAAATAATTTTAGTGAAGTAGCGGGGGATCGAACTCGCAACCCCTAGATTTGTAGTCAGACAGCGTTACCACTGCACCACAGCGCCCGCTCTGATTTATTACTATTTTGGAATTCCCTATATACATTATCACATTAGTGACCAAGAAATTGAGTAATTATGCTATTGAATTTTCGCACCTAAATAGTAAATATAGCGTAAAGATCTTAAGTGTTTA